AAGACTTCCTCAGTCTGAGGTGCTGTATTCAACTAGCTTACAAGGTTTTATTCATGTCTGACATAAACAAGCATCTGGACTAACCTCTAACCCTAAACGGGTGCAGTTTAAGTTATGACGGTTCCATTCAAAATTCACTTCAATTCAAAACTACTTTATTAATTCCAAAAGGGAAATTAAATGTTGTAACTCATCATTCTGGTTTCATTAAAGAGTTGGTATAGATGCTGATGGCTGTAGGCAGGAAGGATCTCCCGCAGCAGTCTGTCCCACAGCGTATTTGAAGAAACTGGCCACAGATGCCGATCTGCCCATCCTGACCCTGCAGGTCTCTAAGTCCTCCTTGGCAGCAGGACCGCCCGAATGTCAAACAGAACTCCTCTCCGAGCGATGGCCACTCCTATCAGCCTGCCGATCTCCTCGTCACCATGGACAGAGCTGCAGGTGCCGGGGGATGATCCCGGTGCTCCCACTGTCATGAATCACGTTTCCAGCCAGCTGCAGGATCTCGGCAGTCAGGCACTCAAACACTGCCGGCAGGTAGATGGAGATGCGTCCACAGTGCCTCCTTTTCAACTCATTTGGGATATGGGGCTGTAGTTGAGGTATTTGAGCTTTGAGAGGTTAATCAGGTGCTCCCGATTGTAAAAATTGGTGACATTGGTGTCATGGTTACACTTCATAACAAATGTCCAAAAGTAAAAAGGTTTCAGTAAAACTTCTTTCAGATGCACAGCATCAGATACCAGAAGAAACAATCATCAGAAAAATTAGATTTACATCCAGTAAAAGAGGAATTAAAGTTTTCAAAAGCAAAATCCCAGAATGAATGTAACAGAGCTACTCCAACATCCAGCCACCTTGAGCAGCGCAATCCAGTTCAATGCTACGGAGACTGCTACCACGTAATATGCAGTCTTTACTTTTCTGTCCCCACTCAAAACTCCCACCTCTACAATGCCCCTGAAACAAATGAATACAAATTTGAGATACATGTAATTTGAATCTAAATTTGTCGCCGGTTTGCAACTTTTGTTGCTCGAGGCACCTATAGAAACATCCATGGCCTTGCTTTAGCGGCCAATGGCACATGGGCAAACCTTTGTTTGGTTTCCACAGAGATTCTTAAAGTATTCTCCATTGCACATTTTTTCTGTAAAGTACATTTGGAGCCAATATCATAATTTGCTTGAACTACTCATCCTTCTGGTTATCTCTACTTTTTAGCTTTACATCACAGATCAGCGTATTTTACTTGGAAGTGGCAGACACCTAAAATTCTTGGGAATACCACTGGAGAGATTTTAAGTACCACTTCAGTATTTGTACCACAGTTTGACAACCATGGAGCTAGACCATAACTTAAAGAAAAACTACAATATTTACTAAAGAATTTATAATCTTCTTTGGTTGTGATGTTTCAGTATTCATGTTGGTGAGGGGTTCAGTTGTTGGCATGTTTGATTGACAGAGGTGGGAGATTCCATACTGCATTCTTTTTATGTCTGAAGCCGGAACTCGGATCTGGGGCTGACGTCGCAACTAACTTAGCTATGGTCCAGATACAAGTTAGACATGTGCTCTGTTACCGGGCTATACAGGCAACACAAGCCAGTAACAATGTATTTTTGTGCAGACTATACATACTGTAGCAACATGTTTCATAAAGAAGGAAGCAGTATTGCATCAGTGACTACAATCACCAGACGTGAAGATAAATGGTTCATTAGTGCAGTTATTACCATTACCCTGCACAAGACAGCCACATAGGACTCTGAAGTTGGGGTAGAATAATATGTTAAAGACCAGACCAGAAAACTAATTCTAAAATGCATTTCTCTGACACACCTGGGATCTTTTTTTTTTTTTTTTTTTTGGGGGGGGGGGGGGGGGTAATAATTTGTGTAATAAGACAGATGTTCAGTTACGAAAACAGCAAGAAACTTGTTTATACTCTGTGCTCAGTGACCATGTCACAGCTAGTAAGGTCCAATCTATCATCAACTAGACAGAATATCATTTTCAGTGGGAAATGCAGGAATAACAGGAGTTTGGTCTAGAGGTGGAAGTTGAGGCTCTTTGAAGGGAGTCGGACCTTGTGAACGTTAAGCCACGTGACCTTACATGTGACTTACATACGACGTATCGCCGTACCACATGACTTGTGAAGTAGATGGATGGATGGATGCGCTCAACCATCAGCGACTCAATTCCTTCGCTTGCGTTAAAGAGCCCTTGGAAAGATTTGGCTCGTTCACGAACGTCACATCTCTAACTTGGCCACGCTGGTGTAGTGAGGTCCAGGTGGAGCAGGATGCTGCCAGCAGTTTCTTATTTGGTGGTCAATGTGTTCAGCCCATTGTCCAGTCTTGTCCGATGCATCACTCTTCTGGAACTTTTGACCTGACAGTATGCTCAACCGCCTTTTTTGTTTTCTAGATTGGGTGTTTTTGCACATTTCTTGGCTTTGAAAATATGCAGAAGGACTACACATATTAAATAATTACAAAAACAAGTCATTTCAGGTAGGCTACCTGCTGTGAAGAAAACAGCAACAGTTGCTTTATCTAGTTTGGCAGAACCTTTTAGCCGGAGACACGGCGTGTATTTAGTTTGTTTGGTTTATCTGAGCCAACATGTAACAGTTTTAAAGGCAGATAAAAGCTGACTCAACAGGCCGGGTGTGAAACAGGCTGTAAATCTGGAGCACGTGCTCTCACCGGCATGCCTCTCCACACCTCCTCAAATTAGAGCTGCGCGCGCCAAGTCATCTCCTTCAGGTCAACAATGAGCTCCCCTACTGTTGTTGTTACTGTAAGTCCACGTGCTTTTGACAGGAGACCCCCCCTGCAGGGAGGGGCGCCCCAGGGCACACCATTAGGATACCACCAGTTTACACATCAAACACCGAGAGGCGCGTGTTAGAGCACGTGCCCCCCCACAGCTAGTCCAGGTGACACTTTCACCGACCATACCGCACGTGAACGTTCATGTTGCTGCCGCCGAGGTCACGGCACGCGGACGGAAATGCGCGTCCACGTCGAGAAATAGACGCTTGATAAGTTTTCGCATTTTTTTCCAAATTAATGACGTCACTTAATTTATCTTTCAATTAAGACATTAAATCATTTTGTTACACATTATTAGTCAGTAAAACTCAGTACCTACCATACATGTCCTGATATTCCTCCTCACGAGTGCGTGTTTGAAGGCAAAGTAGCGATAATTAAAAAAAAATAATAATAATAAAGTTGTTTTGTTTTTTTTCTGGCAAAAGTGACTGAAAATCTCTATAAAGCGCGTGAGGATAAGGCTCGAGCCTACATGACATTACCCCGCCTTGGAGACTGCAGTGTGCTCGACGTGAGGGTCAGAGATGTAGAAAGACTTTAAAGGTTCAAGTCATGAGTAAATTATGGAGTGGAGTCTCCACCCAGAGGGGGGAGGGGGGGAGGGTGGTGACGTCACACAGCTGGGAGCTCAGGGTCCCAAACTGAGGAACTCTGGGGTTAATAGATGATCTGGTGTTCAACAGCAGCTCTGTGGATGAAGACAAGAAGAGTCCTTAAAGCTGATGGAGTCCCTCTGTCCAGACCACGTGAGCTGGACATGTTTTTTTTTTTTTTGTTTGTTTTTTTTTACAAACAATCATCAGTTTATCACCATATATTCATAAAGCAGAATTAAATTCTTTACTGAAATGATTTTATGGAGCAGGATTTAAAACTGTGGCTTTAAAAACATTAAATTAGTTTAGGATTAATACTATTAATTCATTATCAACACCTCCTTTTGGTAACTGTAGCTTAAAGACAATTATATTAAGTTTCTGAAACATGGCGGAGTGAAAATCCAACACAGAACTATAATATTTGGCTGAATATGAACTAAAACCTTGGGGCCAGCTCAGACACCACCATCATGATTTAAAGCAGACAAACTTCACAGATTTCCTGTTAAATATTTGAGCTGCCGTGCTGAAGTATTATTTAAATCCTCAGTTTGGTGTATCTACTTATGTTTGTGCAAATGACTCGTAGCTTACTCAGATTTCAGTCTCAACATAAAGAAGTGAACTGATATTAACAGGAAGTGTACTTCATGTCCTCAGACCACAACTTATGTTTGAAATTATATTAAATTACACATCAGCAGGCTGACTGCACTAACTTACTTGTTTAAGTGATTTTTTTCTCATATAAACACTGAATGTTAATCGGATTTATCAAGGTGTACAATCTAAGATCATGCAGAAGTGAGAATGGAGAGAACAATTAGAAGCTAAATATTTATCTTTACTCCAAACATTTAATGAATACCATTTAGTTAGAACACATTCAGTCTTTAATTAAGCAGAACCCTCCGGTGGAGGCCGAGTAACAAACAAACAAAATGCTGTAAACACAAACATCTCTTTGGAGGTACTTCAGTAATTTGTTCCTGTCGTTTCAACAGTTCAACGTGTTCAAAACAAGCTTCACTAGAGTTTCCTGACAGCATGAAGACACAACAAACTTTATGGATCATAAAGAAAACAAAAACAGGCGAACGTGTGTTTTAGCTTTTCACGCCTCGGCGGTAATAAAATACTCCACGTGACGTGATTTTCGTTGGGGCTGTGAAGAAATGTCCGTCCCAGCTGGTGGAGAAGTGCACAGCTGAGTTCTGTGAAGTCCAGTGCTGCAGACAAAAACTAACAATCAGAAGAAAGAACAGTGCAGACAACAGGTGGAAGAGATGAACAGAAAATAAGAATAAAATCATGAAGAAAAAGTAAGAGATGGGGACTCTTTGGAACGTGTGATTATAGGAGCTTGTTCTTTAACAAGTTCTGACCAGTTTGATTCAGTGTGTGTGTCCCCCCCCCCCCCCTTTAATAACTGCTACAAGGAGCCCCCATGGGTCAGCCGCAGGTAGATGCACTGGGAATATACAAACTCCCCTCCCAGTCGAAGCACTGGACGGTGTCACGGTTGGGTCCAGCAGGACGAGCAGCGGTGTTTATGTCCGGACCTGGAACTTGCCGGCCTTGGTCATGTACTTGATGCCTTTGAAAGGTTTGTACTTTTCACCGTACATGTCCAACCGGTTCACCTTCAGCCCTGCGAGGAAACGCAAACGTCAAGAATGCTGATGACGTCACAAACTATTTGTTTCAACTAAAACCCCCTCAGAGAAGTCCCCGCTGGGTTTCCATCCCCGTTAATGATCACTTTATTATCCTGCTCTTTTAAATCCCAGCACAAATTAACTAAACGTCCTAAAACAAGACGTGCTTGGTTCAAATACACAACGAAGGTGGTGGTTTGACGTTTTGTACAGGAGCTTCACGTTTAGTTTATCTATATTTTAGCATAAGCTAAACATAATTTTACACTTTATAAAACAATTATTATCTGAGCTACATCACTGCATTGCTATAAAACACTTGGTTTATACCAGTCTGAACAATTCGTTTGTAACAACTTGACATCTGCTTTGTACAGTTATGTTGGAGTATTATTATTATTACAATCTTAAGAGACCGTGCGTCTGCTGTGGCAGCTGCTAAACTGTGGAACCACCTTCCCTTGAACGTCAGACAGACTTCTTCCATGTCCGTTTTTAAATCCCGTCTTAAAACTCTTCTCCTCTCCCTGGACTTTGACACCATCAGAGGTGTTGACTTTTAATCATTATAATCATTCTTTACTGTCTGTTTGTTTCATTATGTGTACAGCACTTCAGTCCTGTGGGTGTTTAAAGAGCTCTATAAATAAAGCTGGTCTGGTATTAGCTGCATTTGGCGCCACCTAGTGGAAACCAGTCACAGTCTGAAACCATCAGGTGGCTGTCAGCTGACCAGGCTAAGTGCTGACAACTGGAGTTCAAGAAAATTACCATATGGACAACTTTAACATAAACCTTTACCCTAGTATATTAAAACATCTTGATTTGACTGTTTTTACAACTACAGTAGTCCCTCGCTTCTTCGGGGTTCGTTTATCGCAAACTCGCTCTATCGCGGTTTTTCAAAATAAGACTGGACATGACGCGCAATTGGCTGATTGATGGACGAGCCGCATGAAGGGCATGGAATTTTTATTAAAAATAAATTATTTTAAATGATTCAGGCCATAGCTGCAGAAAAAAAAACTTCCTCCTACACCTTTGTGCAGCCCTCACTGCAGGACAAACTTCCTGCTGCAGCTGATCAGCTGCTCACTGTGCAGAGCGGAGAAGTGGGCGTGACCAAGAGCGCTTGCAGGTGGCAAAAAGCAAATGAGGCAGAGCTGAAATCATGACATTCTGTGCTTTTAGACTTTATAAACATTGTTTAGAATATTGCAAGAGTGTTTGAAAGGTTTAAAACGCCTTTGTTTATAAAAATAAAACTACTACTTACTACTTGTACTACTATTCCTACTACAGTTTTTCACTTCAGGGTCTTCAGGGTACAGATCCCCCCCACAATAAATGAGGGACTACTGTACTTTTATTTGATTTTAATAACTTTTTGTTGAATTATTTTATGTCTAAAACAGGTCCCTCTTGTAAATGAGTCCTCGTGACTCAGAGACTAACCTGTATAAATAAAGGTTGAATGAAAAAAAAAAAGGACAAACAACATTAAAGCACTTTGTTAACACACTGTTATAACAGAGGCTGAGAGTGTGAGTGTACCTGAGATGGCCATCTGCTGGATCTTGAACTGAATATTAATGGTGGGGTTCTCATCTGGTTTAGAGGCGCCGGCCTGCAGGTTCATGGTGCCTTTCAGACTTGGAAGCTTCTGTGGGTTGATCTTGCCAACATCCCATGTCAACAACTTACAAAAACAAGAATATGAAGTACTCATTATGAAGTAAAGATCACAATGACAAATGTGATCTAAAACAAAACACAGAACACCCACAGGGTCTCAGGCACAGACGCACACGGATGTTTTCTGTGTACCTTTGTGACGGGGTCAAAGGTGTACGTTCCCTGCGAGGAGGTGAGGTTGGCGTTGAGAACGCCGCGCGGCAGCTGGCTGCTGACCAGAACCGACTCCACCACCTTACCCATGGTCTGTTTGGGGCCCAGAGTCAAGTCGAAACGACCCTGGGAGCTGCCCTCCCGGAAGGTAATGTTGTGCTTGACGTACACGGGGATGGCCACCAGGCTGCAGGAGGAGATGAAAGAGGACTCAAACTTTTCTAACCCTTTTAACTCTGTTGTGGCTATTATCAGTTGATTCTGTAGCTGAACACCAACTTCTGAGAGCTGACGTGGTAGGAGAGCAAGCGGAAGTTTCCGTCGGGCGGGATGAAGGAGAGGATGCGCTCAGCTTCCCACCGTTTGAACCGAACGCACGGGTGAAAACTGACATCATCCAGCAGACGAGGATTCTGGGAGAGAGTGAATCAGTTTGACCGTCTTTCCAATTAAAACCAAAGAGTTCATCAACAAATGAGCTACTATGAGTTTTGGAGCAAAGCAGAAGCAGAAGGTTACAACCCAGCAAACCCACCATGAACGAGAGCGTGAGGTCCGGCATGCCGGTCAGTTTGACGCAGGCATCAATGACTCCCTGGATCTCTGCTGTGATGGTGGAGCCTGAAGAGAGCAGTCATTAATCCTCCACACAGACAGAACCATTAACACAACCAGCTGTCGGAGGAGCACCTGACTTATCGATGATGGCATCGATCTCTTCCACCACGTCAAAATAGGCCTCGTTGTTGGTGTATTTGACCCCGGTGCGTCGCCACGGCACCACTGAGAGCTGACCCGTGGGCAGCTGCTCGCCCACGTTGGTGCTGCCTGATGGAGACATTCACTGAGGATAAACAAACAGCAAGCACACGGACGCCATGTACACAGGTGTGTTCGGACGACGTACAAGAATTTTTTTGATGTTGTTCCCAATTTTTTGGACCAAAATGGATGAAGTGAGCTGCACAGCACCATTTATTATACACACGTCTGAGGGTTTTCTGTGTACTTTTACTGGGTAAGCTGCAAAATTACAGAACAGTAGTCCCTCGCTACTTTGCGGTTCGTTTATCGTGGACTCGCTCTATCGCGGTTTTTCAAACTAAGATTGGACATGACACACAATTGGCTGATTGATGGATGAGCCGCACGATCAACATGGAATTTTTATTTAAAATAAATTATTTAAAATTATTTAGCACCTGCTGCACATTTGTGCAGCCCAGAGCTGCAGAAAAAGCTTCCTGCTGCAGCTGATCAGCCGTTTAGCGTGCAGGGTGGAGAAGTGGGCGTGGCCACGAGATCTTGCAGGTGGCAAAGAGCAGAGGAGGCAGGGAGCTGAAATCATGACATGCTGTGCTCTTTTTAGAACCATTGTTTAGAATATTGCAAGAGTGTGGGAAGGATTTAAAATGCATTATCTACTTACTAGTACTACTATTCCTACTTCACAGTTTTTCACTTATCGCAGGACGTCAGGGTACAGATCCACCGTGATAAACGAGGGACTACTGTAATTTATTTGAACAATACGGGCTGAGGTTCTCCAGCAGCAGTGGATCTCACAGGACTTGTTTTGATCCTTCACACTAAAAGTTTGATTTTGAAATACTCTCAAAATTCCTGTTGATCTCAGCTGCAGAATGCGTTTTACTCAAGAACAATAATACAAACTATTTTCATAAACTTCAGATGTGTAGAGAGAGTTTCTTTTAAGGTTAACGCTCATGAATAATGCATGGTGTTGGTGTTTGAGACTTTTATTGTGAAGGACTGAAACAAGTTCTGAGAGTTTTGGCTACAGCGGCAGTAATAAACTGCACTTTGGGCTGCATCAAATAAAATACTCCATGTTACTGTGTAGTTAAATGTGTTACTGTGTAATTAACCTGTAAAAAGTGTGCCCACATCTCTCTGATGCAATATTATTAAAGAACTGAACAAATATAGAATCACTTCCTCTGGTTAGGTCTTGAATAACTTTTTTCTCAACTTTTCTCTGCCAATAACATTTTAACTCTAGTCTTGACTCTAGACATTGTAACTTTACGATCAAATCTTGAAAAAAAAAAAAAAAAACTTCTCTACATTATATTTTTCATCCAAGATAAGTATTTGTAGCAAAGAATGTGTGACTGTGTGCCTGCAAAGTAATGCCAAAGTAAAAGCTAATTCTATTTCTTATTGTGTCAGATTGTTTGGTCTTATGTTTATTCGCCTGCTTTGTGATAAGATAGATAGATAGATACCTTCATAAATAAAGCAGCTCTGCGAACAGCTCATCTTATTCCTGTTCAAGCTGTAGTAAACTGTGTGTGCCTTAAAGGCCTGCATCTATGTTCATCTGTCTTTTAGCAAAATATCTCATGAGCCACTGGACAAAATACAGTGAAACTTTCAGAACATCTACAGCTGATGAAGTACTGGTGTCAGAAGACGGCAGCCACAGCTAATCGACCTCAGCAAACATACAAAAGGCTTTAAGTCAAATATTGGGCGTGGTGTTAGCCAAGAGTCAACCCCAATACAAACTTGGAGTGCTAACAAGTCACACAGTGTTTTAAACTTTGGCATGCAAGGGTGATAAGCACTATTTAATTTGGTATGCATCCTAAACTTCTTGTCTCTATGGGAGCCCAGGTCAGTGTGAACTCTGTCACTGCTGACTGAGGTAAGGTAGCGGGCGTGTGCAGGGGACCTGTGATGGTGTTGACCATAGTACGGAGAATGGTGGGAGGCTTAATGAGCTCTTTGAGGATGTTGGACTCTGTGGCCAGTGGAAACCCATTGTCCAGCATCTCCTCCAGCAGCTCATAGACCACCACCACGTTATCCTTGATGGCTGCCTCCGTGCACACGCCAAAATAGTCCTGGAACAAAACAAACACATACAGGACACAGATATTCTGAGTGAGGTGAGTTAAAGTAAAAGCAGAAAAAGTAAAAAAAACACACACGAAGGAGCAACCTGGAACGTGTCGACGACTCTGTGCAGAAACTCAATGACGAAGAGCGGCGGCACCTCGCTCTGGATGACGGCCACAAAGTAGATGCGGTGCCTGAGCACGCTGATAAGGTAGTGATGTGGCGTGGAGATCACCGGTGGCACGTTCTCCAGCTCTGTGGCGCGCTCCTGAGCCTCGAAGAAGTAGTCGCACACGGAGCGGCTGACCACACTTTTCCAGTGCTTCTCCAGGAAAATGTCCCCGGAGGCATTTATCAGGAAGAGGCTGTGGATCATCCTGACTAAAGGCAGAGAGGCTGAAGGACAAACAGAAAGTGAGACGGGTCAATTAACAGCAGGACACCTTCAGAAAATTATCAAAGGGGCGGCCATCTTGAGTAATAGCCGTCTCTAAATGTTATCAGTCGTAGATGTACGTCTTTGAGACTTATCCTTAAAAAAAAATCTGTCCATTGGTACATGAGCAACCATATCAAGAGTGTGTGTGTGTTGGGGGGGGGTCCTCCCAAAATATGATTGTTATTGCTTTTAAAGTTAATCACAACATGCACTACAGGTCCCTAAACATGAAGCAGCTTAGAATTCACTTTAAACACCAGAATCCACTTTAAACACCAGAATTCACTTTAAACACCAGAATCCACTTTAAACACCAGATTTCACTTTAAACACCAGAATCCACTTTAAACACCAGATTTCACTTTAAACACCAGATTTCACTTTAAACACCAGAATCCACTTTAAACACCAGATTTCACTTTAAACACCACAACTGGTCCCATCATGATGTTAAACAGCAGGAACCTCCCCCTCTTCTCACATGACACACTCCTGTTAACTGGGAATATGACACCGGGATATTCATTAAACATGCTACCGAGTTCAGGAGCGCTAGCAGCAGGTAGGAGTTCGTACTGGTGCAACAAAAAGGCTCACACTGGTCACAGAACATCTAAACGCGCAGTTAACGGAGGCCTTCATCATCTCCATACATCAAAATAAAGAAGATGCTTCGTCTCGTGACAGAAGATCCGACAACCAGGAGGAAAATGCGTTCAAACAACTGCAGTGGTATCGCTAAAAATACAGTTTTCTTCACAAACCACTCATAAATTACAAGTGACTTACCAAAGTATACGTTTTTTACACTCTCGTCTAGTCTTCTACCAGTAAACGAATAAGCAGCCGTCGCTGCTTCCCGTTAGCTTGAGCACCGGAACTTGAAGCGAGACAGGATTTTCCAGTAGCCAATCAAATGTCAAGGATTGTTAAACATCCCGCCTACTTGGTGAAGTCACTGGTAATCCTGAGCTATGATTGGTTCATGGCAGGAAAGCTACGGCGCACAGATTAAATGCTGCTCGCTGATTGGCTTTGAGCTGTTCCTGGTCTGACATTTTGTTTTCAGTATCAGATTTCATCTTGTGGAGTTTCTCTCCATTCAAACAAGCAGGGCTTGTTGAGAAGGAATGAGTTTAAATGCAGGGTACGTTTCACTCCAGTTTTTATGTTTAATACGCCAAAAAAAAAAAGACATAAAATAGGGAAAAATTTGACTCCATAATGAGAATATATTATTAAATTAAAAATATATTTAAAATATTCATCTACACACGGTGCACATTTTAAATGTTATTACTTCTTTATTATTCAAAAATAAAAATCCACAAAACAAAATTATTATTTAATTAAAGATTAATTTATTCACAAAACACATTGTTATGCATCACAATGGGAATGTGAGTAGAAATAATAATTATCATTAATCCAACATTTTTCAGTCAGGTCATCTGGACAGTTTCTTTTTTTTGTGCTGAAACGTTTCACCTTCGATCCAGAAGGCTTCATCAGTCAAGGAAACACACAACAAAACTGATTCTTCCCCCAACAGCTTACTCCAAAGTGGAACAAACCAGTTATGTTGGTGCTAAGATCATAGATATAAACTGGTTGAAAACAACAAAGTTCATGCTCAATAATCCAGGTATACAATCCAACATTTTTCAGGGCTGGCAATTGAGATCTGAGATCTTTTTATGTGAAAAAATGACCAACATTAAATATAGTTTTTATTAAATAAAACATTTAATGAAAAGTGTGAAGGCAGTTTAGGACATTTGTCCACTGTATGGATGAAAGTATTTGATCACATCGGACCATCACACCAACAGTGACTGGATGGAGAAGGTCCCACTTTAGCAGCCAGAACAACTTCCAGTCTTCTTGGGAGGCTTCCAACAAGAATCTGGCAGTTTCCGAGGACATTTGTGCCCATTCCATCTGTAGAGCATTTATGAGGTCAAACACTGAACTTTATTCCAGTTCATCTCAAAGGAGCGCTCATGGACTTTTCAACAGAACAAACCAGTTCAAGAAGTATTTTAGTCAATTTGTCATCAGCCTTTTGAAAGCTAATATGTAACTGTAGTTAGTGTGCTGTTATTAATGTTCTAGTAAACGTATTCTGAACCGTACTGTCTGTGGTTTGTTCACTGGAACAGTCCTGTTCAAGGCCAGACTGTCCAAAGAGCTTACATGGACAGAAGCCCAGGGCCCTGAGGTTTAGAGGGCTCCAAATAGTATTACTCTTTGTAATGATTGAGTTTTCCAAACACAGACTGCTATTTATTTTGAATGAAATGCACGCCCACATCCCTGGAGAGATTAAATTGATGGACAAACTATCAACTGCTTGACTTGGCTTTCTGTTTAATTTGCTTTAAGTTAATACAGTTCTACTGCTTTAACTAAATGACTTTTGTCTGTTAAATCTGCGCCATGACTGGTTTGTAAATATTAATTTTGCTTTGAAGCAGTGCTGCTGTTTTATACAATCCTTTTTCTATTTTCACTTCATCTTCAATTCAATTTCAATTCAGTTTATTTATTTAGCGCCAAATCACAACAAAGTTGTCTCAGGGCACTTTACAGGAACATTCACATAAAACCCAATTAGTAAAGTTCTCTATCTAAGGAATCCAGCAGACAAGATGAATCTTGACTTCGTTGCAGTCTCCCATCCTGAGCAAACACAGTGGCAACAGTGGAAAGAAAAAACCTCCAGCAGAACCAGGCTCAGGACGAGCGGCCATCTGCTTTGACCGGCTGGTTGAGAGGACAGGAAGGAGAGACAGGCAAACACAGAATGGTAGGTCCAAGTATAGGTCCAGGTGAACGTGAAAGACAAAAAAACACATGTTAAGGATAGAAAAAATAATTACAAATACAAAACAGGTTGAGCAGAGTAAGTAAAGACAGTAGCAGAGTGAAAAGTGTGGTCAGTTTGTCCTCCAGCAGTTTAAGCCTATAGCAGCAGAACTAAGGGACAGCTCAGGAAACCTAAGCCGACCCTAACTATAGGATTTAGCAAAAAGGAAAGTCTTAAGTTTAGTTTTAAAACTGGATCATGTGTCAGCCTCATGGACAGAGATTGAAAGTTGGTTCCACAAGAGAGGAGCCTGATAACTGAAAGATCTGTCTCCCATTCAGTTTTTGTAAACTCTAGGAACCACAAGTAAACCTGCAGTCTGAGAGCGAAGTGCTCTGTTAGGAAAATATGGAACAATAAGATCTGTAATATAGGATGGAGCTAGGTTGTTGAGAGCTTTGTAGGTTAGAAGTAAGATTTTGAATTCTATTCTGGACTTGACAGGGAGTCAATGGAGAGAAACTAAAACTGGAGAGATATGATCTCTCCCACTAACTCCAGTTAAGACTCTGGCAGCAGCATTTTGGATCAACTGAAGATGTTTTAAAGAAGTATTTGGACATCCAGATAATAAACCATTGCAACAGTTCAGTCTAGACGTGACAAATACATGGACTAGTTTTTCTGCATAATTTTTAGATGTTTCTAATTTTAGTGATATTACACAGATGGAAGAAGGCAGTTCTAATAACATTTTTAATGTGGGGGATAAAAGACATGTCCTGATCAAAAATAACACCAAGATTTTTAACATTAGAGCTGGAGGACAGATTAATGCCATATAAGGAGGGAGAAAGACTGAAAAATTAATTCCTACGGTGCTCAGGTCCTAAAACCAAAACCTCAGTCTTGTCTGTGTTCAAAAGGAGAAAATTTAGGGTCATCCAGGTTTTTATGTCTTTAAGACGTGCTTGTAGTCTAAGTAGCTGATTGGATTCATTGGGTTTAATGGACAAAAATAATTGTGTGTCATCAGCATAACAATGAAAATGTATACCATGATGTTTAATAACTTTGCCTAATGGAAGCATATATAAAGTAAAAAGTACTGTCCCAAGCACTGAGCCCTGAGGAACTCCGTGACTAACTTTGGTGACTCCATGGCTAACTTTGGCTTTCATCTTAGGTCTATGTAGTAAAGTTTATAGGTTTAAGTTCTATCATGTGACCTGTTATTTTTTTAAAGAAATACAAAGTACAACCAGTTTAAATAAATAAAAAACTACTGTGACAGAGTGAATAATTGTCATATTTTCTGACGACAGGCGTGGAGTTATTTTACTATGCTTTGTATTTTGTTGAAGCTAAGGGCAGCTCTTCACTTTGTGATTAAAAACCTTAAAACTATCAAGCACATTATCTGTAATTAGGTGTTAAAAAAGGTAATTAAGCCCCCAAAGTACCTCTAGCCGAGAGGTCCACACCGTCCTCGTCCTGTTGGAGCAAAAATGGACGTCCCTGATGTGATGACACAGATAGAAGCAACATTGTCCAAAATGTCTATGACTGAATATCTATAATCAAGTAACTCAACTTTTAGTGAACTTTAAAAATATGTCATCAGAAGCTGGATTAGATGTTAGGCGTTTGCATTAATTTGATAAATCAAAGTCTTCTGTGTCCATATTTTATATGACTGGTGAGCTTGTGGATAAAAATAAAAACAGTGTTCATCCATCCCAGAAGGACATCTAGTGGTAAAAACTCATCACAACAGCTTCATCACTCAGTAACAGTAGATGTTATCTGGACAATACTCAAGTATTTGAGTCAAAGTTCATCAGTAATGTCCCAGCGCGGTTACGTTTCACACAAGTCTTGATATCGATTTGATAACTAATCATGTTCAAACTGATCTCGCAGGGCTGTCACTGCAAAAATGACTGACAGAATATTATATTGTATGTAAATAAAAGTTGGTTTTCCTGGTTTTCTGTAATAAAAACTCCAATATAAATGTTTCTAACACAAATTCTCTCAAGAAGATTTTTTTTTTTCACCTGAACGGCCTAAATGAGGACTAGAATATCAGTTTACACTTACAGTAACAGCGGTATATGCTTTGAACGTGTAACCGTGTGTCCTCAAACAAATTCTAATTGAACTAAGAAACCAAACCTAACTTCAAAACTAAGCTTTGAAGGGAGGTCAAATAAATTTCTTGTTTTGGGGAAAACATGATCAAGTATGCTTGAAAATAAGATTAAACAAGGCAACAAAAATATATATCTTATAAGATTATAGTAACTGCCAGAGTCTTAACTGTTAGTGTCTCCAGTTTTAGCTTCTCTCCATTGGCTCCCTGTCAAGTCCAGAATTAAATTCAAGACCTTACTTCTAAACGCTCTCAACAACCTGGCTCCATCTTGTTACACATCTTATTGTTCCATATTTTCCTAACAGAGCATTTCACTCTCAGACTGCAGGTTTACTCGTGGTTTCTAGAGTTTCCAAAAACAGAATGGGACATGTCTTGCTGACATGTTCTTGTTTTTACTTTTCTACATCGCCTTACAACCTAGCTGTTCTTTTTTTTTTTTGGTTACATTTCTTTTAATACCATTTTATTTTCACTTGTTCTTCTCAATTTGTACACATCCTTTATGTTGTCCACTGTTGTCATCACTCTGTTAAAATCAGGTCTCTTGTAAATGAGTCCCTGAGGCTCAGTGGGATTAACCTGTATAAATGAAGGTTGAATGAATTGGAGGCAGATCTTCCAGTTATCAGGCTCCTCTCTTGTGTCCGTGAGGCTGACACATTGTCCAGTTTTAAAACTTTCCTTTTTGATAAATCCTAGAGTTAGGTTTGGCTTGGGTTTCCTTCCCTTAACAAAAAGTAGTACATTTGAAGTTCATTTTTGCAAGTATACTCTAAGTTAAGTATATCAAGTATACTACAGACCATACTTGTAGTGTACTACTGATTTAATACTTGTTTGGACTAAATTGGTACATTTTTATACTATTTTTAAGTATATCACATAATGTTTATAAAACGTAAACTTGAAGTACACTTCCTCATTTTTAGTGTAAAATAAGTATACTTGTAGTACACTTAAACTTTTTGCTAAGGGTTTCCTGAGCTGTCCCTTAGTTCTGTGACAGGCTTAGACTGCTGGAGGACAAACTGAGCACACTTCACTCTGCTGCTCTTAACTTACTCTGCTCAACCTGTTTTGTATTTTGTAACTATTTCTATCCTTGACGTGTTTTTGTCTTTCTTCCAGTAGGGAGTACATCTGCACCTACATCTGGACCTGCCATTCAGTTCCTTCGTTCTCCTTCCTGTTCCTCTCAAACCCAGCCGGTCAAAGCAGATGGCCGCTCATCCTGAGCCTGGTTCTGCTGGAGGCTCCTTCCTGTTAAAGGCAGTTTTTCCTTTCCACTGTTGCCTTTGTGCTTGCTCAGGATGGGAGACACTGACGAAGTGAAAATTCAACACAATCTGCTTCATTAGAAAGATAACTTTTACTGCTTCTTTTATGTATGTGAATGTTTTTGTTCAGTGCTGAGACAACTTCTGTTGTGATTTGGCGCTACATAAACTGATTTATTATTAAATAAGAGTAGTGCGTGCCACACATCCTACGCCCGGCGTGTGTCAAACTCAAGGCTCGGGGGTCAAATGTGGCCCTCGGTGACATCTTATCTGGCCACCAAGATGTTATTTTAAATGTAAAATACTTTTGTCACCTTAATTTTTTTCAGTAATCTTTGATTATCATGTCAAAAGTGCAACAGAGAGCATCAAATGAGATCAATCAAACTCTCATTGAAGAACCTGCAACTAAGAAAAGATGTTGGTTTCTAACTTGAGTTAATGTAGATTCTGAAACTGGCCCTTAGTTTGAAATAGGTTTTAATTGTGGCCCCCTTTTGTAAATGAGTTTGACATGTCTGATGGCTGGGACAAGCAAAGCCCTTGTATAACGTTTGACCTTGATTTGTGACCTTAGATCTGGGGTGATGAAAAGACCATGCCATCTAGGGGTGGTACAAATGTGCTTCGACTTTCGTTAAATTACGCCGAGCGGATCAGAAGATACGGGCAAGACAAGAGAAAGTTTACAGACCAGAGTACGTCTGCCTGTTGACGGGCGTATAAAGTTTAAATCAAAATGAAATGTTCTGCCTTTTGGGAAAACATTTTAAAAATGGTTCTGAACAAGCTGATGGGAGCGGTTGGAGCCGACGGCTGCTTCAAAAGGAAGATAACATGGTTGGCTCAACATAATTTATTTTCATTTTATGTTAAAATGTACAGAGCTTTTGCTAAGAAAGAAAAAAAAACAAAAAATAAAAATAAACAAATGAATAAATGGAAATACATACAGGGCCAGAGTAGAGCGGAGCGCGACTCGAGCTTCACTGTGAGCTCAGCCGACGCCTCGTCTCTTTATTTTGCGCTCTCTCTCTCAGCATACAACGCAACATGTACAATTACAAAGGATACAAAAAGGGAAGCAATATAAACAGACAAATATACTGAGCTCGTTTTTACATGCCTCTTAAATGTAAGGAAGTCATCCTATACACACACACAAGTAAAAAAAACAGAAAGAAACAAACGCCAAGTGACCTTTAGATATTTGTAGTCCTTTTGTTTAAAATAGCATTAATATACTACACAAAGATAGAAAAACTCTAGAGATGAGATGGAATGGAGAGGTTAAAGGCATCTTAAAGTCACTAAAAGTGAGTGGTAATTTTTTTACATTTTCAATTTCTTAGTAATTATTTATTACCCAAGAGGCGAGTTTAAAAAATGTTTTCTTTTTGTTTGTTTTTGTCGTTTCCTGAAACAAAAGCAAAAAATGACAGTACCAATATGAATGTCAGAATTACTTTTTATATTATAGAAAAAAAAAGAAAAAATCTACAACAGCTGTCTGAAGACAAAAAAAAAAAAAAAAAAAAAGGAGTCAGCTTTTGTCATAAAAGAAAGCTGTCCTGTCTGATAAAATTCAGAAAAGAAACAACAGAGTGAGACACGTAAAGAAAGAACGTCACGTCTGTAAGAAAACTCTCTTTACTGTGAACACTGGTACGTGGAGCAACAAGGTCAGCGGTTTAGGAGCCTTCCAGGTAAACGCCAACGGGACCTTGAACACCCTCAGACCCTGCTTCTCGTAAGTGCACCTCTGACCGGGGGCCGAACCGTGCACTAGATCGGGCATTAGGCACACCTTTCACAAAGGCTGACTGTATGCTGCCATACGTCTAGTCAATGGGAGTGCAGAGTTTTGAACAAACAAAAAATAGAATTACAGTTTTAGCAAAACATCAGTGAAACACCGTCCCCTCAAACGGTTTGGACCACTAACACTCGAGGAGGCGAGGCCAGATAAAAATGAACCGACTTGGAGCGGTTATGAAGACTCAACCGTCTGCTCTGCATTCTCTAAGCTGCTAAAAAAGACGGACGCTGCACGCCGTCTGTCATTGGAGTGTGGACAGAAAGAGCTGAATGTTGGACTTTTCTGAGCTAGCCACCGATTGGCAACAGCTACTCAGTGTTTGTATGTGCGAGTGCCTGTGTGTGTATTGGGAAGTACCAGAATATTTACATCTAAATGTTTCAAAGTGGCAGCGAACTAAAAAATAATGCTACTCGTTTCGTTTATGGATATATAATAGTAACACGCTAGTTTCTTCTTTGTCTTCGCCGTGTTTTTGGTACGACACTTGTCCATCTGGGAAGACGGAGAATCTGGACACGGCTTACCGCCACCTCAGACATCTGATCGCTCTCAGGCTTTTCTGGAACATGGAAAGAAGAAAAAAAGCCGCCTGACCAAGCAGCACCTCAGAGATGCTCGGGTTTCTCAATGAGCTGGAGGGCGTCTCGCCATTTTCAGAATGCCACACGTACAAAGACCGAAGCATACAAGAGGTTGGACTGCACACGAGTATTCCAAAAATAAAAACAATCAAAAACAGCGACAACAAAAATAAGACATTATATTAACAAAAACAGTCCGCCTACAACATCGTCTCTTTTTTTTTTCCATGTAAGGCTTCCTATAATAATTCAAAGATTGTGTGCATGGTTGGATATATTCAGTTAACCACTGTTTTCATGGTCAGCAGTCTCACAGAGCAAGGTATTCCTGAAGTGTCTTTCTGTGTCGTTTCCTGGTCATTCTTGTCCTCCACTTCTGTGCTGCATCATAAAAAGGAAACTCCTATGGCTGTGTGGAACCACACCAGAAGGCCGATGCAGCACTGAGGTCCATGTGCTCGTCCAGCCCCAAACTGCAGGGGATGGGAGAAGCCCCGATAAAATCAGGACATAAGGACAACACTGAAAAACAGGAAACCCAATCATGCTCCGTTTCTGATCCCCTTCACCCCCAGGTGCCTGTCGAGGCACTGGATAAGGTAGAAGGAGTACTGGACATGTAGAATACAGCGAGCAGTAACTCTAGCCCAACGTCTCCACATCCGTTCTTCGTTGCTCATCTGCTCATGTAAGGTGACTGTTTTGGGACTCCAGCATAGCTGTGATGGGAAGGGCCAGTGTACATCATGTTGCCATGGTGATTGGGCTGCATTGGCTGTTGTGGGTAACCCTGCCCTCCCATCATGCCCATCTGCATCTGCATGGGGTACTGAGCTGGCTGGTTCATGTACGCGGGGTTGCTGTGATAGCCGCTGTTCATCATGGTTTGGGGCATGCGATAGCCGGCTGACATGGCGTTCAGAGGCGTCATGTTCATGGAGTTGTAGGGCGCCGGTGTGGGCATGAGGTTCGGCATCATACCGCGCTGTACCGCTAAGGTGCGAGGTGTGCCCTGCATGGCTACAGCCCCTGAACTGCGGCCGTAAAGCTGCTGTTGGTGTGGGGCCGGGGCCAGCTGCTGAGTAGCTTTAGATCGGATGGAGATGTGGCCCTTGACTGTAGCCATCTGTCCCTGCAGCCTCTGTGTGTGGGGGGGTCCCAGACTAATGTTGGTGGCGGGCATGTTGCACTGCAGTTGCAGCGAGCCCAGGTTCATGGAGCCAGAGCTCAGGTTGGGAGGTGAGGTCATAGTGGGCTGGCCCTGAGAAAGAGGAGCGTGGGGGGAAGGGGCCAGTCCAGGGTTGGACAAGGACACACTGGTGGCGTAGGAGGTGACGGAGGCAGAGTGAGAGTATGGCATGGCGTGAGGATCCATGATAGTGTTGGTAAGCTGTTGGAGTTTGGCCAAGCTGAACGTCGCAGTAGACTGGGGGTAGCTCCCCGTGCCAAAGTCCTGACCCATACGCTCATAGAGAGTGCGGCCCCCTCCTCCACCCCCGCTCTCTGGGATCTCCATGATCATGGGCGTGGAGGCAAAGCCATTGCCCATGCTGCACTGTGACAGAGCCTGCTGCTGTGGTGGTGGAGGAGCAGAGGAAGGGGGCTGAGAGTTGGGGGCTTGTTGCTGCTGCTGAGGAGGCTGTTGGGAAACCTTTTTCTGGGCCTGGGGCTGCTGGTTGGTGCTGGGAGGCCGCTCAATAACCCCGCAGCTCTGAGGGGACTTGATGCCACAGCTGGGTGTGTTGGAAGGTGGTGGGGGTGGTGGAGGCTGGGGCACAGCACTGCTCACGTTACCAGCACCTGGTCCACTGTTGGGCGCTGGTCCTGCTTGCTGAATGAGGCTACAGCTGCCCATAGCTAGCTGGGCTCCTCCGTTTCCTGTGGAAGAGGTGAGGCTGGGAGCCTGCACAAAGGAGCAGCTGCTGGACTGCGAGGACGACGACTGAGTGGCAGACGTGGATGAAGAGGATGATGATGACGCTGTGGACACTCCTACCACAGCAGCTGATATGCCCCCTCCATTCCCCCCACCGCCTGTCCCATTCCCCCCACCTCCCATGGTGGAGTCATAACTGCTGGGGTTGTCGTAGTTTTCTGTAGTGCTTTCGATGCTGCCCAGGTCACTGAAGCCACTGTCCACAACCTGCTGCGAGTGGTCCGACACAGACGGCACATCCATCATTGGAGACGTCTCCATGTTCTGCTGGGACGGGGCAGACAGAGAACTGGGGTGCTCTGGTGTGATCTGAGTGTAACCGCTGCCACTACTGCCCCCTGATCCAGTGGGACCAGGCGTTCCACCTCTCTGCCCAGCAGGTGTTGTGTCCACGATGCCCGAGGACAACCCTGGACTGTTAGCTGAGCGCACAGACTGATTGGGCAGGGGTGGCACGGGGGGATTGGGGAGGGGGCTGCTGTGTTGTGAGGCACCACACTCCTCCACTAAAGCCAGTGTCTCCTCCTCAGTGTCTCCTGCGTGGCTGTAGCTCTGTAGGGTGCGGCAGGCAGCTAAGGTCTCCTCACAGTCTTGGTACGCCCCATGGTGCGGCTGCGGTTCTGTCTCTTCCTCCTGGGCTTCCCCCTGCGTCAGGGACTGGACTGCCTGCATGGTCTCCAGGTCCAGCTCATTGGAGTGCTGATGTGGGTGGTGTGGGTGATGGTGGCTGAGCTCCTCCTTAAAGTCAGAGTGCTGATGGGGGTGAGCATGTGGGTGCGGGGGCTCCATCAGCAGCGTGACGTCCTTGTCGTCGGCGTGCAGAGACTGCAGCTGCATGGTTTCAGAGGGAACAGACATGGCCGTGACAGTTTCCACTGCCGCAGCTGCCGCAGCGGACTCTTCCTGCTCTCTGCGCTGCCTCTCCTCCTGCTGAGGGTCAGCGGCAGGAGGCTGACACTTGGACTCTTGAGCTGCCTCTTCCTCAGCCTCCTCCTCCTCCTCTTCTTCCTCCTCCCGCTTGCTGATGTAATTCTTGGCCACGCTGTTCTCCATCTCTAAAAAAGCCTCTCCAACTTGGGGTTCTTCTTTGACGGGGGGAGAGTTTGCTTGTGAGGCGGGCTCCTCCTCGTCCTCGTCTTCATCCTCCTCCTCATCGTCTGACTCTGGTCTTTTTCTTGTCTTGTTGCTCTTGTCTTCTAAGTGTCCATCACCTTCGTCGTCAGCATCGTGGTCTTCACTGCGCCTGGTTCCAGATCCTAGAGCAGCAGCAGACTGTCTGCTGAGACCACCCCCTCCACTACCCATGCTGCCATTTTCCTCTTCCTCTCTCTCTTCATCATCCTCCTCCTCCTCTCGGTTACCCATGTCTGTGTCTTGAGGCCGGGACTGTGAGGCCCGAGGCCCTGATGATGAGGAGGAGGAAGAGGGAGACAGCAAAGGACAAGATGGTGGGCGGCTGGGTTTGTCCTCCACCCACCCTCTTTCAGTGTCCTCCTCCTCCTCATCATCATCATCTTCCTCTTCATCAGGCTCAGAGGTGGGACGGGGTTTGGGGGCAGGCTGTGAAGACTGGAGGAGTGAGCGGTTCTTTGGAGGCCTCCCTCTCCTTCTTGGCAGCTTCTGTTCAACAGGTTTAGAGAAATCGTCGTAGTCTTCATCAGAGTCTTTCAGCTTGCTGGTTCCACAGAGTCTCTTACTGGTGTCTGACTGGAGCATCTGAGGAGCACTGCCACGTTGTCTTTCCTTCTCCTGCCTTTCTGCCTCCTCCCGCTGCAGGTACCAGCTCCGGGGCTTGCGGCCAGGCTTCATCTTGATTTTGGGGGGTTGGGGATCCCCACTTTGAACCTGGCCGTCTCCAGTCGCTTCCCGGTTGGGCCCACCACAAGGAGACTTTCCAGCTTCGCGTTGCTTCCAGTGTAGTGGTTTGCGGCTTTTGCCTTTCGGCCAGCCTTTCTTCTTCTTGACTGGGACTTCAGGATTGGTTGTGGCCATCCCTGACGGAGATACCGTCAGAGCAGCTACCGGATTCAGCACCGGTGTTAGCTCTGGGGAGAAGAAAACCAGAATGACGTAAGACGAACATGCACGATGTGCACAACACGTCAAAAGACTACATCTTGCATGAAAACTCTACATTTCTTACCATCTTCCTCTGAATCGGTGACGTTGGAGTGGCAGAGCCTTTTGGGTGCTGGTTCAGACAGCCTCAGGGCAGACCTTGCAGTGGGATAGCGGCGCAGTTGGTGGCCGAGGGATGTTTCCTCTACTAGTCTAGGCATAGGCCTCTCTGAGTCTGAGTCTACAAAGGGCTCATCCAAAACCTCGGTGGTTTCAGAAATGGTCTCTGTCACCACGCTGCTTTGAGGGTGGCTGCGGGGGCGAAAACGAGGCCTCTTCAGGGGCTTCTAGGGGAAAGCAGGTTATTGAATTAGATAAACGTTGCTATGACAAGAACAGTTAGTCGGACATTATCTCACCTTGTATTTGTGCCCTATTGCTGGTTTTGTAAGGATGGGTGGGGAGCATGCCCTGCCCTCTTCATCATCATCATCATCGTCATCATCATCGTCGTCGTCCTCATCATCATCGTCCTCATCCTCTTCATCACTGCTTTCACTGAGCAGTGGAGCATCAGTCAACCTGGATATGACAGACAGCTGCGTCAGCCCCTCTGCAGACATTTCTAGAAGTCTCGGCTTCGGACCCCTCCTCTTCCTTGGGGGTCTCCCTCTTCGAGTCATGGGGGTTATTGAGGGGTGTCTGGCCATGTCCAGTGAGCGAAAAGTTGCAGAATCTGCTTGCCTGTCCAAGGAGAAAAGGGAGGGTGGGCTGCTGGAAGAAGCCATTGTTCTTCCCCCCACTGTCGTTTCCTCATCTTCATCATCGTCATCTTCTACTGAGTCAGTCTTAGGTGGTCGTCCGACTCGTGCACTGTTCTTCATTTTGCCCCAAGGCCAGTTTTTTGGCGGCCGCCCGCGTGGCCTACGCTCTCCATTTGTTGGCGGCTGGGGTCGTGGAGGTTCTGGGACCGTTGGACAGCGGAGGGAGGGGGAACTTGGAGAGCTTTGGCTAATGGGAAACCCCAGGAAGCCCTTTGTGTCCTCATCGTCTGCACTCTGCTGCATCTGCCAGGGTGCTGGGGGGATCTTCTGGCTTGGCTTGACCTATTCACGTAGTACAAAACAAAAACTCATCAAACAAACAAGAACTTGGAAATCAATTTGCATAATAGACGAATGGAATCCATGTACCTCCTTGTGATGGTCTTCCTCTGCATCTTCTTCCTCCTCATCGATGTCTTTGTCAGAATCCGAGACCACGGTGTTTGTTACAATTACCGGAGTCCAACGAAGACACTCGGGGTCGACGTCCAGCTGCCGTGGCCGGGCCTTTAGGCGAGCCATGTGGCTGGCCACCACCTTCTCTCGTCGCACCAGCACAAGCCTGAAACCCAACAAGAGCGATACAACTCTGCAACCAACGAAACTGAAAGGACATGCAGTTTGTACTTCAGTGTGAGCTTAGATGATGCTGGTGCTTAAAACAAGGCGGCACCAAAACCTTTACATAAATCAGTTTTGTCAGACTTTGATAATTTTTTTTCTTTCATGTTTTATTGACAGAGCTGTTTGGCATCCTGACCTCATCTTGTTACTGCTCTGCAGCAAACTAACACACGGCTGCTAAAGAACAAGCACCGTCTGCTACAAAGGATCAGAACAAAATGCAAGAGACGCCTCCAGCCACTTAAAATCTGTGTACAGAGCAGGGAATGATTATTTAAACTTCTGCTGAATTTGTACTTTTCATAGTTTACAAAGAATCTAAATGGTTCAAATTTTTTTGCTGTAGTTTATTTTAATATAATTGTTTATCCTTGGTTTTAGGTGGAGCCAAAAGGATTCTTGTTGGTCAAAAATGTCTTCCCAGTTCAAAATACAATGAGCAGGACTGCAAAGCTTTCAACTGCATGAGAACAAGAGAAGACGTCCAGTTGCTTTTTCTTTTTGTCACGTCCTCAATGACTGAGAACTGCACAAACTATTTCAGTTAAGATTCTGTCTCTTTCTAATACAACAAACCTACCATAAGAATATGATTACCGTAATTTCCAGACTATAAGCCACTACTCGTTTCTCACGTTTTAAACCTCGTGGCTCATACAATGATTCAGCTAATTTATGATTTTTTTTTTCTTGACAGGCTAACAAGCTTCATGCTGCCAAAACATTTTTAAAAAACCTTGTCACGCCTGGGTGCTCACATAGCTGCCCAATACACGTCTCTCTTGGGGGGTGGGTCCTCATGACTCAATGAGACTTCCTGTATTAAAAAACAAGTTAAAAATAATAAAAATCTGACCAATGAAAATACTGAACAGGTCAAGGTGGACCAAATGAAACTTGGTTTCATTGATCCACTGTGTACTCCCGGGGGGGGAAAAAAATTTCCCCCCTCCTTGTGGGAATTTGCATCGAGACGAAAGTGACGTTGAAAGCGACAATGAAAGAGACTGAGGACGTGTGTGATGACGTTTTTCTGAGGCTGTTCAATTCTGACACTGAAGAAGACTTTGGTGGTTTTAGTGCACAGGAGGAAGATGAAGATAGCGATCAATGACTTCCTGTTAGGCTACCGTATTTTTATTTAACCAGCCGTGTTACAGGCACCGTTCAGAAAAAAACATTTACAGTAGGTATTTGTGTACCGGATTTTTCAGCCTATACGTTGCATTTTTATTTATTTTTTTGCATAATTTACATGCCCTGTGACTTATAGGCAGAAGCGACGTATTTATGGATTTTTTCCCCCATATTTATAATCCAATTTTTGGCTGAGATATGACCATTTTCATTCATTCAGACTGAATTTTTTTTTTAGCAGTACCACTTTCAGCCACTTGATGGCAGCAGAGTAGTAATAATAGTATGGCATGCCGTTGTATCATGTAATAGGTAAAAGTGACTACTGACAAATCAAAAAAGTTCAAGAGAAAAACAACTGGACTTTATTTATTACACTTTTTTGTTTTTGTCTTGGAACAGTTTTGAATTTACAATGTCCTGGATGACTGAGAATCTTCACCAGCTATTAATGATACAACGGCTTGCCATACTCCCCCCTCCCCCCCACCTTCGTTCTGCTCGCTGCTTGGAGCAACCTCAGCTTCATTTTGCTGCACCGCCCTGACGAAATGCAGCTAATTTGACCATTAAAGTGCATTTATTAAGTAAAAGTTCAACTGAGACACATCTTTGCTAAAATTTTGAGCAAACATATAATTGTTTTAAGTGTTAATCTTGTTAAAATCCCCCTGTGCACGCTCCCGCGGCCGCCATTTGGCAGCCAATCGATTTTTGGCACACCGGCCCACATTTCCAGGTTGTCAGTGGTGACGCGTAATAGATGCGACGTATACGGCGAAGCAACATATTTATGGATTTTTCCACTTTATTAGACATACTAGGACTGATGTGATTTTTTGGGCGGTGCTACGAGTACGACGGAAATTACGGTATGTTACCAGTATGTATTTAATTAAAAGTTTTCTTTTAAAATATCTCATGTTACAACGTGGACACCAGCAGCTTATAGACAAGTGCTGGTTATATATGTAAAAAAAAAATAAATAAATAAATAAATAAATAAATTTTATTTAGTGGCTGCTGCTTATATTCAGGTGCGCTCAATAGTCTGGAAATTACGGTCCTCTGTTAAGTCTGTAACTGAGAGACGTTACAAAATCAAGCTCAAATCAGATAATTATTTTTCCAAGACACAATGAAAGCAACTTCAGTCTCGTCTCTGACCTTTCCCCTCGTTGCTCCAGCATGTTGAGGCTGTGCAGGGTGGTGGTGATGTCCTGCGGGCAGATCCCCGTCAGTTTGCTCAGTTGGCGTATGGTGATCTGTCTGTCACGAAACTCATGGAGACACTCCAGCACCACACTGCGCCAGTAGGCCATGTAGGACAGCCGACCAAGGTCCGAAAGAGGCTTCTCTGGAGATCCAGGCTGTCCCTCCCGCTTTGACAGCAAATAGCCTCGAGAGAAAAAGAAAAGTATAGAAACTAAGATGCAAATATTACAAACAACGTAGTATTTATTTATTTGTCCTGAGTATTTATTATTTGTGGGTTTACTGTGTTATTATTTGAGTCCTTACTGAAGTCGATGAGAAAACGTCCGTAGCCCTTGCGCTGATATTGTGGAAGAATCATGATGCATGATACATTGTATTTTTGTTGGCAGTGCTTCTCCTGAAGTATAAAATAATGAAAGTTTAACAAGAGCATGACATTCTGATTTAATCTGAACCTCACTGTGTTTGTTTAGTATGGCATTAACATTTCTGACATAAAGGGAGCGTTGCTGAGGCTGAGAGCAGGACGGGTTGTACCTTTGAGAAGTAGCCAACGAGGTGGCAACCTTTGCTGTCGTTCTGGGTGAGGACGTAGAAAAGGAAGGGCTCTACATCGTAGTAGAGGGTCTTGTGGTCCAGAAACAGCTTGGCCAACAGGCACAGGTTCTGACAGTAGATTGTGCTCACATTTCCATCAACCTGTTCGGATAACCAAAAAAAAAAGAGCAATCGATACATTTTAATGGCTCCTGTGAAAGTCAGAGGAATTTTGTGTTTAAGCTTTTACTCAAGAGCAAAACGAGGTTTAATGGAGTGGAAGATAAAACAAGATTATAAGCAGTTTTCTTTACTGTAACAGATGAAATAATCAAGCAGGTAAGACAGAAAAAGGCCAGAGTTGTTGGGAGTGAGGACAGACTGTGGAGCAGAAGAGCCTGCAGGACACTGAAGACATCTTTACATTCTTTGAACAATACCAGTCACTGTCCCTGTGCCTGGTCTCATAAAGCCCTCTGTTGTATTAACCAGCATCACTACACACCATCACTGCAAGCACCGGTACTCTTGTGGACATGTAGCGGTGTGGTCAGGGGGTTCAGCAGCTTCTGTCTTTAAACGTTACAACATTCTCTCTTTGTTAAGCTTCGTCTTAAGCCTCCTTACTTCAAACACAGAAACGTCATCCTTCCTGTAAATCTCATTGGCTGGAGGGTGGAACCAGTTGCACTTCTTCATGTGCTGGTAGAGGATGCTGCGACTCTTCATGTAGCGCAGGCAGAACTCGCACAGGTAGAGCTTGGGTAGTCTGGAGACGAAAAGCAACAGGAGCAAGTTTTAAAAGGTGGAGGAGGAATAAACAAAAAAGAACAAGTTGATTCCCAGAGCAGGGCAGATCATCTCATCAGATGAATTTTACCTGAGAACAGGACAGTGAGCAAAGAACACGATGATTGTTGATTCTTCAGGGTGTTTGCTTACCTGCTGTACTCCTGCGGGTAGGGAGACGAATACCAAGTCTGGATTTCAAACTTGCCAAACTCAATGACTGATGGGCAGCGCATCTGAGGGTCTGGAGGACCCGTCACACCCACCTTCTGCAGAAGTGAACGACAAGACGAAAAGAAAAAAGGAGAAACGGGGAAGGTCAAGTCCAGGTTTGCTACTGCAGAAACTGGCAGATGATGGGTCAAAGAAAACGTTAGACCTCAGGTGTTTTCCCCTGCAACACACAGGTTCAGACTAGGGGTGCAGAAAAAAAAAAAAGATTTATTAAAGAATCTAGATTCTTAGTCCTGGCGATTCTGAATCGATTCTAAAGGTCCATAAACAGATTTTAAAATGCGTTTAAGTTTTCTTTTTCTTTTTCTGCTCTTACTCCCGAGCGTACTGCATATCACATTACGCGTCCGCTCGGGCCGCCGTAGAATTGGGTCATGTAGGCCACTGTACAGCAAGCTAGTTAGCTAGCTCCCTTTATCTGAATGGAGCCTGTTAGCATGGAGGAGGGAGACAGCACGATTCAACCCGCTGCTTCATCTTTAAAAGTCATTTCAGATCCTACAATGTTCTGGGGGAAGACAGAGTTAACAAGAGCACAGTTGTTTGCAAGAAGTGTCAAATAAAATTGCGAGACAGGAATTTGGAAATACGACAAAATGCACGAAAGATGAAAGCGAAGCAGCCGACCAGTGAACTCTGCAACAAACTTCCAGGTTTCCCCAAAAGCTGTGAAGAGTTCCCTCTCCATCTCCTGCTGTATCACAAAGGATTTACGATCAGACAGCTCAGTGGAAGGTGAGGGGTTCAGGTTTATTTTTAATACGCTGGATCCAATGTACTTTATTCCTTCACGTAGCTTTTTAGTGATAAAGCTGTGCCACAACTCCAACATGAAACAAAAATAAAGTGGGAGAAGCTCTGATGCAGCTGCAGCTCAACAGTAACTGTTATTTCTCATATTATACTAAAACTTATAAAAAAGTTAAACAACAAACTTAATGTGTCTTTTTAACAGGTTGAAGAGGACAGATGAGACACATCACCTGGAGCCAGTTATAAATGATACAGTTTATGGTTTATAAATTATTACAGTTCTGAAGAGTTTGTACAAACTTGCACAGGTTTTGAAATTTTGTTAAAGATTTACTAAATGTGAATCAATATGGTTTAAAAAAAACCTGTGAAGTCTGTATTTTATTTTGAGTTAAAGTTTAATGTACTTGTATATTTTGAATTATTTGTCTGTGATGGACTGGAGACCTGTCCCGGTGTCCCCCGCCTCTCACACAGTGATGGCTGGACATGGGCACCAGTGATACCAGTGACCCGTAAAGGAAGAAGTGGGTAAAGAGGATGGATGAATTATTTGTTCCTACATTAAAAAAAAAATAAAAAAAATTTTGAGTAAAAATTCAGGCAACTAAATTAACCTAATACTGGTAATTGAAGTTACAGAATTTTATGCACTCCTGTATTTGTTCCTATTTTTGGTACAAATATAAAACGATGCAAAAACATTTGATACAGTAAAGAACATAAAATTATTGTTTTAAATAAATGTTCTATTTGTTTACATTGTTGTTTAATCTTTTCAGCTCGTCAGTTATATAATTGAAACAAAATTTATGACCATTTCAATAGAGAAATCGTTTCTGGATCGAAAAATCGAGTTTGAATCGAATCGTGACACCAGAAATCGGAATCAAATCAATTCGCCAAACACAGAGATTCGCACCCCCTAGTTCAGGCGTGCAGAAACGTATCGGCAGGTTTTGGATTCTTCCACACAACGTTAGAGAAACTTCCAAAAATCTTCCGTCTCTTTACAGACGAGCAATACAAGCTCTGCCTGCAGGTTTTCACAACCATAAACTTTAAGCCACCGCTACTCATCCTAGATAATCTCTGTTTTTACTGTTCAATATTTGCTCTGCAAGCATCAAACACTTCAGCGCCATCAAAGCTCTTCCATTTAAGATATGACAGTTTTTATTGGGACTCCCATGATGCTGGCAAACTGTCGGTTTACTGCGGCTCATAAGGCCCGGACATTAAGGCAGCAGATTGATGTTTTCTGTCTTTAACTACTGGCTGACCTGTCAGGACACAGACGCTAAATTTTACAGCCCAACTGAGACGTGGGAGAGGAGCCATACACCTCTGGCTGCGTTTACACTAACCAGCCCTGCCCTTCCCATCATGGAGCGGAGTTTCCCATCAATCACAAGAATCATGCTAAGTCCAATCACATTTTTAATGACAACAATACAAAGTAATTACTTTGCAGCGCAGCGTTTCTCCCACAATCTCACTTATTGTGTGATTTGTATCTACTGGCACCTTTGATATCATACCAGCTTTATTTATAGAGCACTTTAAACACCCACAGGACCAAAGTTCTGTACACAAAATAAATCAATCATACTATCAGACAAAGATTAAAATCATTAAAAGTCAACATCTCGGATGGTGTCAAAGGCCAGGGAGAAGAGGAGAGTTTTAAGAAGAGATTTAAAATCAGACAGGGAAGAGACATGTCTGATGATCAAGGGCAGGTCGTTCCACAGTTTAGGAGCTGCCACAGCAAAAGCAAGGTCTCCTCTGAGCTTACACTTTGTCTTCAGCACACTCAGGAGCAGCTGATCACATGACCTGAGGGATGGAGAGGGTGTGTATGGACGTAGCAACTTGGACAGATAGGACGGGGCAAGTCCATTAAGAGCTTGAAAAGCAAATAAAATCATTTTTAAATGAATCCTGGAATGTACGGGCAGTCGGTGCAGGGAGGCGAAAACAGGAGAAGCGTGGTCAAACTTTAGTGTGCCAGTTCGAAGCCGTGCAGCAGCATCTGAACCCTCTGAAGCTGAGACATACACGAGTCACTGATTCCTGTATAATGAGTTAGAGTAATCCAGCTGAGTGGTCACAAAGGCTTTTCTTGATCCACAGTGAACTGTTGCTTCAACATCTGTCTCTGCCCTGTGTGCGCTGCAGCCATCGTAATGGATGGGTTTAATATTTATGCTCCATCAGGCAGCTGTTCTATCACAAATTATTAATAAATTATAATTCAATATATAATAATTCTCTTTACTGATAAAAATTGAATTGTCTCCCAGCTCACTGGCTTTTACACCCACAGAGGTGCACACTTGTTGCAAGAACAAAATCTCACATTGCATTTAATATAAGCCGCCAGATGTTGACTCTGCTCTTTGACCACATTCTCATCTCTAAAGGACATGCTCCTGTACACACTACTGTTCGTTTATGTTTATCAGAATCAGAACACGATTTATTATCATTGTACCGAAATACAGTGACATTATGTTCGTACAGTCGTCTGAAAGATGGGCCGAGTGCACGTTGCTGCTGCTACTGCAGCGCGGCCCCTTATTCTTTTTCAGAATACTTCTTTAGATAGAAAAGGGGACAAAGCCATGATGGGATAGTGGCAGTGCAAAAAATGTTTATGATCAGAGATCTACAACGCTGGTCGGCAGAAAGCTCACAAACACAACTGCTGTGTAAAACAGCGCTTGTAAAAACAAGACATCTGTTCGCAGGAATAACGACTCGAACCCTGAGATCTGCGTCTCTGCTGTGATCCTCTACAGAAACTCTAAATACATGAACCGTTCACTAAAAGAGACTTTTAATGTGACGTAGTGACGTGGCTCTGAGTTGGCTCTCTGAGGAAAACCAAAGCAGATCGAACACCAGAACCTCTTTAATACCAACCAGATCACACTTGGGTCTCACTGTACCTGTAGTGCCAACTCCTGAATGTGTCTGAACAGCTCGATGTCTTTTTCTGTCAGGTTCTCGTGGCCAGGCAGTTTCTCGTCTTCGTCACGCCAGTCGCTGCCGTCCTGATTGTCTGAAGGTTCAAACATTTAAGTCATCGTTAATGAGAACTCAAAGAGTTCTGACAAAAACATTTTGTAACAACGCACAAGGACCAGAAATAACCTTTCATCCTGTACTCAGCACATTTACTGAGAAATCCAACCAAGTGGTTCATTAAATGAAATCATTCAAGTTGTAAAACAAGAACACTAAGAGCATTAAAAAAACTTTTGCTTATTTCTGTTTACTGTGTTTTAAGACTCCTTTAAAAATAAAATTCACAGTTCAATTTAATCTCAAGTTGTCTACTCAACTTACAATAGTTTACTTTAAAACAACAACAACATATTCACAAGACTGAAGTTCAGCAGATGCTCTGTAATTTAACATCATGAGTGATTCATTATCTACACAACGCTGCTTGAATAAAGCTCTGCTTTTTTAAATAAAGTGGGCTATTATTATTTTTTAACTAAAGCTCTGCTTTTAAGTTCAGTCAAAGCCGGTAAGCAATTAAACATGTGTACTTTTTTATTCTTGTAATACTTATACCCTAGAACAGGGGTGCCCAATACGGCGATAGCAATCCACCAGTAAATCACAAAGGTAATATCAGTAGATCACACGGTGAAATAGATGTTAGATCTTTTTTTTTAATTTCTTTAAATTTTATTTTTAAATAGACGTCAGCTGATCAATCCATCTTCACTGTGCAAACAGTCACTTGATTGACACACAGGGCAGCCAATCAAAGGCCGGATTTTTCTGACACATAGGTCACCACGCATGCGCATTCAACAGCGCTAAAAACAAACGAGTTGACTCGTAATAACCTTCAGTTTATATCTAAACTCAAGAAAGTGTGTAAAATGAGTTGGGGAGCTGGACCAAGTTCTGAAACCTGAGCAGAGAAAGAAAACAGTGAAGGAACTAAAATCCCAGTTCTCTGGACAGCAGTCGTTTTTCTTACAGCTGACCAGCAGCGAAGCATCAGTCCTGGTGAGTCACTTTAATAATTGTTAAGCACAAGAAGTCTTTTCAAGACGGAGAGATGGTAAAAGAGACATCTGTTGAAGCAGCTGACTCGTTGTTCAGAGACTTTAAAAACAAACCAGACATATTATCTTCCATCAAATTTCTCCAGGTATCAAGAAACACAGTTAGAGTTAAAGCAGCTGCTGTCGGGGCTGAATTTTCACTTCTCAAGTTATTTTTCAAACATGAACTTATTCTTGTTCTTTTCTGTTCCTTTGTGTGAAGAACACAAGTTATTGCTGAGTTTTGTTTATTATTTTGCATGCGGACAGTAATGATATATTGTCACTTTTTTTTTTTTTTAAACAAACTTTTGGGTTTTGTCATTTATGTTACGTCCACAGTGACCTGTATGGAAGCCCATTGTCACCATGAAAGAAAAAATAAAAGCCCAACAGGAAGTCATAATTTCAACTTTTAAAGTCATAATTATGAGAATAAAAGTCATAATTATGAGTTAGTCTCATTGAGTCACAAGAACTCATTTACAAGAGAGACCTGTTTTAGACGACAACATATAAAGTTTTTAAGGCTGTTCTTACTGATTTGGAGAAGGAATCATCTGTCTGTAAATGTTTTAACTGAGGAATCTTTTGATTTGTTGTGAATGTTCTGTAACCTCTATGTGCTGCTGCCAGTCTTGGCCAGGATTCTCTTGCAAAAGAGATTTTTAATCTCAATGGGATTTGCCTGGTGAAACAAAAGTTAAATAAAAAAAATAAAAGTACAGACAACAATAAACTAAAGTAAAATGCAATTAATAAAAAAGTAGCGTTATAAAACAATAAATCAATATAAAACATGGTAAAATACTAAACACAAGAACGTAAAACAAGAACATAAAAAGCATACTTAATATGTTTATAAATAAGTATATGTTTTGGATGTTTATAGTAGGTAGATCACTTGGACTTGGTCATTTTAAAAGTAGCTCACATGCTGAAAAAGTGTGCCCCCCCCCCTGCTGTAGAATATAAAATGTATGTTACTGATATTTATGTAGACCAGTTCACTTAGTTCTGCAGCTGTTGATCAGTTTATAATTTTTATCCACACTCATTTAACTTGTTTCCTAATTTCCTGAGGTGTTTAAATGGTAAACGGACTGTACTGATATTGAAAAGATCTGATCAAGACACTCAAAGCTCTTTACAACAGTCTGTGCCTCATTTACTCATCCACACAGCACTCTTCTATATCTATACAAAGAATAATCAGAGCTTTATCACAGTCATACACCGATGGGACACACATCAGAGGCAATGAGGGGTTCAGTGTGTTGCCCAGGGACACTTCAGCATGTGACTGCTGGTGGAATCAAACCCTCAACTCTTTCACTGGAGGATGACTGCTCTAACCACTCAGCCACAACCGCCCACAGGTTAAGAACAAATCGATCTCACCTCCTCTGTCATCTCCTTCTTTGCGACCGGCTTTCTTTCGAATGCGGCACTGCTGTGAGTAATCCACCACCTCCTGTCGCGCCTTTCGGCCTTCGGGCGACGGTGTAAAGAACTTGGTGAGGGCATCGATGAGGCCCTTGGTCTTGTTGTTGAAGTGCAGGCTGCTGTGCGACTGGTCGTCGTCTCCGCGCATCGAAAACAGCAGCCGGTCGTCGCCGGGGTAACCCTCGCAGGAGGAGCTGGAGGAAGAGTTGGCCGAGGTGGAGCGCTTCCTCCGACCTCGGCCGCCCAGCTTCTTGAAGGGCCGCCCCGGCCTGCGGGGGGGAGTCAGGTGTCTCATTAGGATAATATCAGGAGGTAAACAACGAAGGACGTAACAATCATTCTGTGTTTTACACAAAAAAATTAATCAGCCAAGAACGACATCAAGTCCTGCTAAATCCACCCACCATGTGCATAAACTAACATACCAAAAACTACTTTGGAATGAAGCCATTTTAAATCCAATGTTTTCAGTTTTTTCTGGGTACAAATAGTCAACCTGTGAAAATAATTACATAGCTTCACTCCTTATGGTCTTTTTTTTTTTACTTTAGAAAATGAAAATCAACTTGTGTTCAACTTAAAGATACCATCCCAACCTGACGACAACATAAACATATAATTAATACAATGACACAAACAAGATAAAGTGTGTTAGGGCAGTACTCTTCCTCTGTCTTGTCATGTGCAGATGGTATGTTGCACAGCTGGCAGCAGACAGAGAGTCCATTTGAAGCTCTGTACCTGTTCTTGGGCCGCCCCAGCGGTGCGTTGTAGCGCCGCTTGATTTCTGCTGCCTTTTCATGTAAAAGCGTCTTTCCCTTTTTTCTGGGCTGGCAGATCTGACAAATCCACATGCCTGAGACCGAACAAGAAGAAGAGTGAGACGTTACAGCTGGAGCTCAGGAGACCGTTGAACCTCCATTAACCTTCGTTAAAGCACTTTTTTCAATTCAGTTTTAATTCAACCTTTCAACGCCACCATGTCGGGAGCATGAGGTGATAATTTAGGAGTCTTGTATAGTCTCTTTTAGATGTAAATTATACATGAACTAAATGTGGAGAGGTAGATTGCAGCAGTCTGCCACGTGCACCGTTTAGAACTACACTCTAACTTTTAGCACCTTGAATTTATTTGAACCAATTTGCTGCAAATGTTTGAATATTGCAAATGCACATGAAGCTCTTCACGTACTTTTAAAAAGCGTGTCTGAATGAAAAATGAGAATTATTAGCAAAAAAAAGGTCTGATGTTTAAATCTCTGAGTGCTGTCCCTGTAACAAGACTGATATGTTTTGTGTCATTAGAAAGAACTTGCTTGTCCTGATGATTTACCTTTTGGCATCCGTGTGAGAGGAGGATCACAGCACTCCATGTGGAAGCCCCGGTCACACGAGTCACAGAACAACATGTTGTCCTGCACAAACACACGTACAGATCGTTATCAGCTTTATGTGCAGCTAACATGGTCTGATCAGATCAGTGCTGTTCAATGACTGTCCGTTAGCACAGTTAGGTGATACGACTTCAACACAGTGATGCAAAAGAGAGCGTTAACGTGAGTGCGCTTGACTCCGCCCTCGTGCATCGTTTTCCTTCATGCGTCGTAGCAGCGAGCTGCGCCTTCGTAACAAATGACTCCTCACTTGACAGGACAAAAGAAAATCCTGCAGGGGCTGATAAAAATAGCTCAATCCCAGGACCACAGATATGTCGATCAGTAACACTATCTGGCACTGAAGGAACGACGACAGCGTTCAGAGACGCTGCCTGGCTGCCGGTCGGCCATGTTTGTTCATCCACTCACCGCATTCTTGCCTTGATCCTGACAGCTGCTGCAAGTCTTGCACTCGATGCACTGCCACCACAGAGCCTTTACTCGCACTGTGAGCTCTGGGGAGAACTTTAGACAGGACGGGTGGCCTGCAGGTAAACACACACACAGTTCTCAGATCACTGTTGACTGACAGCTCTGACACACTTGCTTCTTTGTAAATGGAAGGGGAGGGGGGAGCCCTGAAAGCCCATGTTGAAGCAAACCTGGCTGCAAACTGAATGTTCAAACATAAGTGACAATCTGTCAGAGCTGGGCTTTTTGCTTTCTTGTAGGAGAAGCAAACAAAAAGGGCTTTGACTGAGGCATAAACCTGCAGAGGGTGGAGGTAAAGCACCTTCACTCTCTGCTTTCTATCTCATCACCAGGCCCGAGCAAATAATGAACTCTTGAATCTAAAATAAAAGAACAAAATATTTGTAGAGAACCGATCGTATCGCAAAATTTAGCCAATTTCTGCTTCATGTTGAACCATTTTATACCTGAAACAAGCAAACCAACACACTGACTACAGAAGGACTGAATAAAAATGAGTTTGCTCATGGGGGCGTTTTTTTTTTTTTGACCAACTAAAACCTACAAAACAGTTGTCAAGACAGTGGCAAATTGTAGTTAAAGACATTAAAATGGCAGCTAGGCAAAAAAATAATGATCTAAAGGTGATTGCTGACGGTGATAAAAGGACAGACTGGAGCGCTGAGAGCTACGTGATTTGTCAAAGTGTGACGGGCTGAGCTGGAGGTGTTAGCTGAAGTGTAATCACCGAAAGCTAAAGAACCTGCAATTAAACAAAAGCAGAGGGAAGCAGTGGAACTGTCAGCTGTTGTGGAAAGCCTGAAAGCATCTGAAGTGTCAGCCAAGGAGCAGAGGAAGTGGCACAGACTCACAGCGTGCAGATGGAGGAAGGGAACAGATCTACAGAGAAGCTTCATTCAAACATTCAGCCTGCAAATGTTTGTGAACTGCAGATACAAATGAAGTGATTGTTGGAAACGTGTCCAAATAAACCTGTCCAGGGTTTCACCGACACTCACCACTGTTGCCACAGTCGGCGCAGGAGATGAGCTCCTCCGGCTTCTTGTCACGATTCTGCTCTTTCGTCCCCAAACAGAAGCTGCAGATGGGGATGGGCTCTGCCACCGGCTGATGGAGGGAGGAGAGGAGAGGAGAAGGTGAGGACATCAGTCAGACTAACGGCTTCACTGTCCAAATGAAAACCGTCCTGTGTGTTGCCGTCACGATGTATATTAAACTAACAGCGGACTGATGACATCGACACCACACAGCTGTGACAGCACAGTTTAGAACACTGAGGAGCACGAGCGCTGCTTCATGTGTGAACTTCTATCATTTATGAAGCGGTGGTGGCAGAGCTCTCCACCGTGTCTCTGCTGCCTGATAAGCCATTTCATCACAAACTGGAACACAGTCCTTTCGGCTGACTGGTGGAGTTTTTGTCCACTGCAGCTGGTCCTGTTTGACATTTGCTCCTGATAATACACGGGGTCAAACTGTTCGGGGGCTGCAAGCATTGCTCAACATCCTCTCACTGAATAATGGAGAAGCAGGTGTGGACCCTAAAATAAACAACAGTGGTTTTTATTCAGGAGCATGAAGCTAAGAAAACAAGGAGCAGAATGATGCTTGACCTGTCAAACAGAACAACTGTGACCAACATCCTTTACACACTGCTCAACACACACACACGCACAACACACACACACACACTGCACAACACACACACACACACACACACACA